GCCCCGCTGCAGCCCGCGCGCCGCCGTCCTCCTGCTGCTGATCCCGCTGGCGCAGCCTTCCAGCCCGGCCCCTCTGAACGGTAAAGTTCCTGCCCGCTGTCCTAGCAGTCTGAGCGCTCAGCCGCACCGGGCGGGAGGATTCCCCGCGAGGCTCTGCAGGATTAAGTAAAATCGCGGCGGGGCCGTAGGGAAGGCGGTTATCGGAAAGCAAGTTTTAAAGAAAGGATGCCTGGTTTTCCTCTGCAGTGCACGAACTGCTGCCGCTGGATGCAGCGGGAAGTGCGTTGTCTTTCTAGTGGTGCTTGGCTCACAGTTGTTGGTGTGAAAGTTGTTCGCCTGCTTGCTGAGCGCCCTCGGCTCCCGCTGGAGACGTGGTCCGGGAGTTTGAAAACCGAGGAGTTAACCTCTGACCGGGAAGGGTCTGCAGTAGCCCGCTGCAGAACGCTCACGGAGGTGTTTCTGGGGGAGAAACTGTTCGCCGTCCAGTTTTACCTCCATGTCAAAGGATAATGTATCCCATCTTTAATCACTGCTTTTCTGCCGGAGGACTCGACTGTCCTGAAGGTGCATGTGTGTGCAGGCACACACGCACGTACACCTTATTTCTGACGGTAATTAGGCAGCTTAAGCTCGGCTGGGGCCGAGGGTGCTGGAGTCGGGGGCAGCCTAGGTGGGGAGTGAGAGCGGAACCGTGGGCTCACATCCAAGGCCGGGTTAGGGTTAATCTTCGGGAAGGAGGAGGCCAAGCTTTTGCCTGCGTTTCCCTCTGCTGGGTGGGCACTTCCGCGGGAAAGAGAACGTGACTGGTGTGAACGTGTCCTGGGTGCTGGTGGAAGCTTCTCCCCTGGACGGTCTGCCCAGAGTTGTGGACACACTCGTGGTCCGCAGTTCCTGCGCCCAGGTGGAGCTGCAACATCTGTGGAGTGGCGGAGGGGCTGTCATGGCTGAAAACTGACTCCTCCTGAATGGCAGTGGAGGTGGGAAGTTGGTCCAGCTCAGCAGCATCAAAACCTCTTTCTGTTCCGGAGGTCACTGTGCCCCTGAGGAGAGGAGCAGAGCTGGGACCGAATAAGCTGTGGGCCGCTCTTGATTCTGATCTACTGGTGGCCACGATCTGCTTAATATCACCTCCCTCATGTGGTCAGGGAGAAAGGACTCACATAAAAGTGAAAATTTTTATTTTTCATTTATTTATTTGGTCTGGAGATCGAACTCGGGACATTGCACTTGCAAAGCAGGTGGCAGAACCACTGAGCTAAATCTCCAGCCCTAAAATTAAGTTTTAATACTGCAAGCTTCAGCATCTGCTCCTCTCTGGTGAGAGTGGAGTTGAGACAGAAGTGCACTGGAAATCTCCTGTTTAGTCCAGAGCTGCTCTAGGACGAGAGAAAGGCCATTCATTGGTTTTCTTTCCCGAAAGCTTACTGTTCCCCTCACTCTGGGACAGCTGAACCCGTTGTCTTCCTCGCCTCCTTTTCCTCCCAGCTCCCTTCTTCTCCATTCTCCAAGTTGAGGGAAGGGAAACTTGCAGTAAAAACCCTTTCACTCCACACAGAGCAGCCAGCCTACTAATACCTAGGTTCTACAAACAGTTTTTCCCCCCTGTACTGGAGGGTGAACCCAGGGCCTTGCATGTGCTAGGCAGCACTCTACCACTCAGCTACTCTCTCATTCCTTTGAATTTTTTGTATTTTGCTTCTTTGAGACAAGGCCTCTAACTCACAATCCTCCTTCCTCAGCCTCCCAACTGCTAGGACTATAGGTGTGCACCACCATGACCAGCAAAGTTTTATTTTGTTATTTATTATTTATTCTTGGCTTTATGAATACCACAGGGGACAAGGTCAAAGCAAAAATCACTGAGGTGTATAGAGTGTCAGTATTAACCCAAGGTTGGAGTGGAGGGACTTGCTGAGTAATGGAGTCCAAGTGTGCTCTGCCCTCTGCCTGGACTGTGAGATTTGCTGTGGTTGGCACTGGTGACTGTCCAAGCAAAAAACCTGGAGTCAAGGGAGGGAGGAGCATGATACGGTGATGCCAAGGGTCTTCTGAGAAAAACCCCTGGTTGCTGTGGTAAATGGGCATTTCAGTGACTTCTGGCTCTGCAGTGTGGTGCTGCCCAGGTGACTGTTACTCTAGAAGGTTCTAGAACCCAAGACAGGAAGCAGGCAGGGCCCTGAACAGGCTTGTATCTTGATAAATACCATTCCCTGATGGGATCCCTCCAGGGCACCTCTGTTCTCAGTGCTAGTTGGGTTTGCAGGTTCAAACAGGCATCGAGACACCTCTTCCAGAAGGAACAGATGACCTTTTTTGGGAAGGGAAGATTCTCCCTTGGGAAGGGAGTGCTCCCTCAGGAAAGCACTGAAGTCTCGTCAAGGCCTGCCTGGTGGGGTTCATTCATCTTGTTACCACTCCTGTCCCTGAAGCTAGGGGTGGGGAGCCAGGAGGTGCGATTGCCTCGTTAGGCAAATCCACATCTGAGTGGGCTGCCAGCGAGCACGTGCACACTGCTAGCCTGTCTTCCTGAGGTTAGACTGAATCCACAAGAAATCAGGGTGGACCCTAATCCTCAAGCGAGACTCACCATTCTCACCTTTTTACAGTGCTGCTTCTTCCAACCTTATAGCCCCTAAGCCCTGCCTGTCACTCCATTTATACCCAAAGAACCATGTCGTAAGGACCACAAAGCCTTGCTCAGAAAGGAGGATAGGGAATGCTGCTGCTTTTTAAGTCTTTGGTCCTGTGTCACCCCCTGAGGTACCCTCATGTCCCACAGGTGCCCTCTATAGCATTCATCCATGAGCTTTCCAAAGTGTTATGCTGGCGCCTCATCTGAGGACAAGAGCCGCAAGTCTGGGGGGACCTCAGCTTTGCAGGCTTTGGAGGGCTTTGGGGAACACGGCCGCTGAACATACTGAGGCTAGGTATTATCTAGGGCAGGGACACTGTCACCTCCAGGCCAAGCTGGGATGGCTGAGGTGCAGCAGGTGTGTGTTCTAGTGGCCTGAGGGTCTCCCTGAGGGATAAGTGAAGATGAATTTCCCTCTCACTGGGGGGATTTTATATCCTGGGCCTCTGAGGCTCTGCCTGGCGGAGCAGCAATAACTGGGCTTCCCAGGTCTCTGAAATCCATGACTGTATTTCAGTAAGAAACCTTTAACTGAAACAGTGAGGGAGAATGTCCAGAAAAGATGTTTGCTGTCTTCTGTAGCTTGGTTTCCAGGCAGTGTTTTCTTTTCTTTTCAGTATTGTTTCAGTAAAAGCGCTAGTAGTAAACTTGGTGGTCACATAAAAGTTTTGTTTCTGCCTGGTTCAGAATGTTTTTATTCAATTGCTGCTTCAGGAGAGGTAACTCCTGTGGGGTCTGCGGCAGGTTTCTGGCGGGGGGCGTGTCTGAGGTTTGTGATACATGAAGTTTTGTGTGTCTAAGTTTGTGGCCATTTTTATAGGGAAAAGGAGGTATATCATCATCAAGTACTCTAAAGGGTTTACACTCCACTGCCTCTACTGCAAAGATTAAACATAGACTCAAAGGCTTGTGGGAACCAATGGTAAATGTGCTGAAGCTCTCTGCACGTGTGACCCTGGGCAAGTCACTTCACATTAGTGGACTTTGATTTCTTCACCTATAAAAGGAGGGGATGGGCTATAGATATATGACAGAGAATGAAATTCTCTCCCAGAGTGGGATGCCCATAAAGAATGCTAAACCTGAGCTGGGGATTTATCTCAGTGGCACCAGGAGTGCCTCGTAAGTACAGGTCCTGAGTTTGATCCCTGATACTGTAAAAAAAGAACGTGGAACCCTAAGACAACCTAGAACAATGTAAGGATGTTTTTGAGAATCTGAAGAAAACTTGCAATAATTTTAAAAGAATTCACAGCAGTCGCTCCAGGGATTGATATTGGTTTAAAAGTTCTCTGGAGCCATCCTTTGGTAAAATCTACTAGCTAAATTTGAAAACTGAAAATAAATGTAAAACACAGAAGCAAAGAAATAAAATAGTACAACAATCATAACAAAATGAGGTAAACCAGTTTAAAAAAAAAAAAAGAGCAAAATCCTTTCTTAGCTTTTAAAAGTCACCACTGGCTTGAATAGGAAATGCCCCTTGTGACAAGTGAGCAGATTGCTTGCCAGTGAAGTTGACTTCAAAAGATTCTGAGTTTCTTCCCCTTCTAGCTGTGCCTCTCAGCCAGAGAGGCCCTGGGAGATGTCAGGGGAGAGGGGCTTAGGAGTTGCATCACTTTTCAGGTGTGCCCCCTAAGGCCCACAGGGAGATGTGTCTCCACTCAGAGTGAGGGCAGGCAGGGCGACAAGAGCACTTCTGATGAAGGGACAAGGGCCTGTGTGGTGTGGAATAGGAGTGTAGGCGACCTTCACTGTCTCTAGGCGGAACTGTTCCTCCACATGCCTGCCGCCCAGCGATCCTGACTCCGATGAGGGCAGCAGCTTTCTTAGAGCCTGGCGTTTTCCCTTTGCCATCCGTGCTCTGTGTACTGGTGTGCACTGCTCTCCAGGGTGCGAGGCAGAACAGGGCTCTCAGATGTCAGTGCGTGAGGAAGAAGGAGAAGGGATAACACACCTGCATGTGGCCATACTTGGAAGGATTCATAGCCAACAGAACCAAGGTGTCTCTTGGAAGCAGGGAGTGAGGGTGGCAGAAGTGCTCTGAGTGGACCCTTTGACTACTTTTTGTTTTTGAGCCATGTGAAATTATTACTTACTCAGACAATAAAGTCCATCTTCTCTAAGGGGTCCAGGAGGTGTCTACTCAAGCAGCCCCTTCTTATAGCCATAAGCCCCATGTAAACTCCCCATCCTGAGCCATGCAGGTGTCTGAGAAGCCAGGGTCTGGCTCAGACTCAGAAGTTTTAGCTTCCGGGCATCCACCTCACTTTTAATCTCATCTATTTTGAAACCAAAATTTGTAGTGTCTCCCCTGACATCTTCAGTTCGGTTGTACTAACTTGCTTTGTTTTGTTCTTTGCAGGATCCAAGTGGAGCTATATTGGTAAGTAGATATTTTAAATGTATTTTTTGGAGATGGCAGTATTTAATGAGAAAGCCAAAGACCGCATTCTCTCAGGAGAATGCCTTTGCAGGTCAGAAAGCTGTGCTGGGATTGTTGAGAGAGGATAAAAGAGTCTCTAAGGGGTGCATGCTGCATTCCCCAAGTGGATTAGCCTGCTCTGAGCACTTGAGCTGGGCCACAAGGTTCAGGTTCCAGATTCCTGTATGGATTTCTGCTGGCCCTCCAGGTAGTTCAAGGCTGCAGGGGCCCAGGGCAGGAAAGAGCCTTTCCTCTGTGCAGGACATTTACCCAACAATAAACAAAGAATAAAGGGCTCCTTTCTGAACCTTTGGCTCCAGCTTTAGATCTTAAGCTGTTAGTGTAATTACAATTAAATTCTGGTTACTACAACTGTAAGCCACGGATGAAGAGGTGGGGGTAGGCCCTTAGGGGAGGGGAGATGCTGGTCTCGTGGGGATAGAGAGAGGAATGTCAGCATGCCCAGGGTTTCTGCGGGAGTAATCATGAACATGTCAGCCGCCCTGGCAGGCCTGTGAGCCAGGCAGCGGAAGTTGGCCTAGCTACACTGTCCCAGTGGATTGTCAGTGTTGTCACTGGCCGGAGTACAAATGGGAAGCCAGGCACCTGGACCTCCGGCAAGTGCAGGATGGTGGATAATGTTTGGACAGGAGCAGTTACAGATACAAAAGACAGACTGCTGTGGTGAGCAGGAGAGTCGCACTGACCTCACTGGCCCATTTAGCATTTGAAACAATGACACGTGACTGTGGGGTGGTGACAGGCAGGGGCGTAGAAAGTACAGCCCAGGGAAAGAGCTGGCCTTTCCTTGCAAAGGTTACTGTAGGAGTGTCTGCCACCCGAGAAGGCATAAGAAACTCACTGAAACATCTGCCAACTACCTCCAGGCCAAGATCCCATCGCTCAGCTCCTGCACTGCATGGCTCCATTATCATTAACATCTCTTGTGCGCCTTTTATGTGCCACACACCTTCCTAAGTGGGTAGGTAATTAAAAAGGCACACTGTGGTCTGCAGCTGGGAATTACTAAACTTCATGATTCAAAGCAGAATACAGCAGGTAATAATAGCAGATATACTGGGCAAAGAAAAAGAACCGAGATATATCGTGTAAAGGTACGAATTCCCACAGATGAATGTCATCGTACTGTACGCCTAAAATGTACCAATAAACTTAAAGCAAAGAAATAAGAGCAGATATAAAAAAGCGATTCTGTACTCTAGTTTTTCAGAGGAGGAGAGGGCTAGGGCTGTCCTGCGTCCTACAGGAAAGGGCTTTCACCTGACCTGCAGGAGTGGGGTGGGAGGTAGAGGGGGTGGTGTTTCCGATGGCATCATATAAGCAGGGGCCAAGACAAAACAAGGACAGATTTGGGGGAAGAACATGGAGAGCACTTACAGGAGAACAATGGCTCCAAAACAATAGCTGAGGGGAAGCCAGGAGAGGAGGCCAGGAGGGGCAGGGTGGGGAGTTAATCTGTTTTAGGAAGAGTAACCTAGAAGTGGTGGGAGGGGAAGGTGGGAGGGGAATGGGAGCTGTTTGCCCTTTGCAGGAACCGGGTTCTGAGTCTTCACCTCTGGTGTACAGGGGTGGCAGGAAGAGGGAAGGCTGAGACCTGACGAAGGAAGAAGCAACAGTTGGGCACAGGGCCCCTGGCCAGGCCGTGTGTGTCGTGTGTGTGCCTGGCTGTGTGTTGGGGTGGGTGGCATGAGTGAAAAGAAGGTGGACTTGATTCTGGGCCATACTCTGATTCTCAGTAACCTGCAGGAGGGATCCTCAAAGTATGGCCTGGGGTCCCTGACATCAGAATCACCTGGACTGCCTTCCAAAAATGCAGATTTTGGAGCCTAGGCCGCCTACCTTCTGTACAGTAAGAGCAACTTTTTGCTGAGGATGCAGAGGGCAGAGTTTAAAGATGCAGGGACGTGCACAGTTTCAATGCCAAGGCAAATCTGGTAAACCGGGCAGACGCAGTGGGGAGCCAGCCTCGGGGGATGAGAGGAGGAGGAAAGAGCGAGGACAGCTCAGGAGGCAGACAGGCCCAGGCTGGCAGCTGGCACCGGTACTTGGAGTCACACAGGTACAAAGAGGACCCAGCTTAGGGGCTGGGGAGAAGCGGTTTCCAGGCAGTGGGGGCTGTGCTCGATGGGGGAGGTCCCAGGAAATGCCACGTGCTGGTTTTCCCAGGGTGCAGAGCACAGCTTCTCCAACAGGCACGTAGACACTGCTGAGTCATCCTGCCCCAGGGCTTCCCCCTGGTGGGACCTTAGAGTACTTGGAAAGGGAATTCTGCCCTCACCCCCAGCACTGAGTTGCGAGGTGGACCTCATGGGCAGCCCAGGCAGAGGAGGACCATCTGGCTGCAAGACCAGCAGCACCCCTGCTGGGCTTAGAGGGGCTGAGGCTCCATCGTTATAAGAAAGGAAGGGTGATGAAACCTGGGCTTTCCCACCAAAGCCAGGGCCGAGTCGGGACTGCTGAGCCCGGCAGCTGCACCAGCTTAGAACTGGAAGTGAGGCTGCAGTCGGGATTGATGTGAGCTGAGCCAGCTCCAGCATGCTAAGGCGGATCTATGCCCTTTGGGCAGTGGTAGTGGGGTGACTGCAAGGCGGCTTTGGGGTATGGCTCATGTGATCAGTTCCCTGACGCAGGTACTGTGTTCCTTTTGTGAAAACTCAGCAAGCGGTTGGCTTATGATACCTGTACTTGTTAATATATATTTTAGATTTCATAAAACTTAGAAAGTTCTACCTGGCTGGGACAGTCCTGTTTACCCTGATAGTGTTTCTCTAGTCTTTCCCCAAGAAGAGAGCAGGAAAACTCAGTGTCTGAAACAACAGGGCAACCAAAGAGCACAGGGACGACGCGCCATCCTTAATGGGCTCATGTTGGTATGATGCTCCTCTCAGGCATGCTAGTTCAGAAACAGACAAATGCCACTCAGCACTGGAGCTCTTGGACAAGTAAGACAAGCCACGTGGGCAGTGAGACAGCACGGAAACATGGATGCCAGGGACCCCTCCCGCAGGGATGGTGAGTCTCACCTCTCCCCAAAGCCACCCTTCTCCTTTCCGGCCCAGGGAACTCTGGGAAGATAAGATGGGGGCTTGGCCTGGAGGTATCAGGGCCTGTCTGAGGCCACTCACAGCCCTTCTGCCCAGCATCTCAGTGACTGGATGTCTCTGGGCAGGACTCAGTGTGACTCAGGCACTGAGAACTCCTCATGCTGCTGGCCCCTCTCCACTCTTCTCCCAGACAATGGATTCTCAGCCTTAAATAATTTACTTTGGAAATCAGGATGAAATCCTCCACTGGGGCAAAGCTCATGTTCGTGTCTTCAGGTCTTGCAGGTCCTCGGGCCATTCCTGGCCTCTACCTGCCTCCTGTTCTGTGACGGCTGGAATATGAAGTCACCGCCAATGCACTTGCCCTGGGGCTCTGGGCACCCTCTCAAACCCCTTCCCAGGCACTGAGAACTAGACTGGAATATGTCTGAACGGTCTGGAAGGTAAACTCGAGTTCCTACCCTTTAGCAGGGTTAAAGGCACCAAACGACCTCAGGCCAGACTGCAGGATACAGAGCACACCTTAGAGCCAAAGGGAGCAAATGCAACTAAAAGGTTGATTTAATTAATAGGGGCTCTTGTCTTTCTCAAATGTTACCACATCTTCTCCTCCACTCCCTGAGGATAAATAAGAGGCTCCAACCACTCTCTGGAGAACAGGAAAAGCCAGGCATATTCTTCATCCCAGGAATCCTTATCCCTACCTCCGGGATTTCCCCGAGGCTAGCAGTCTAACACCCTATCATTTATTAAATCTAGGCTACAGTTCCCTTACTTCTAACTGAAGTTGGGACATCCAGGGTCTGTTTGGTGTGGTCTGCCCACTAGTAATTATTTCTCATCTTTCCAGAGTTGCAGAAATGAGGTTTGTATGTATCCTGGAGAATCTTGGCCTATAGCTGGCAAAACGCCTGCACATTACTGTTCACAGTTGGCCTTACCAGACAAGTACTGTAAAAAGCTAAGGATGTGAGTATTGATTCCAAAGACAGGTGTAGTGGGCTGAGGAGGGGTGGGAAGTGGGAAGGGGGAGTGAGGCAGAAAACCTGAAGGAAGAAGTGGGAAGTGTAGAGACCTTACAACCAGTCACACTAGAAGGGGTTCTGGCTGGAAAGTCTAAGGAAAGTAACTTGACCTCTCTGAGCCTCAGTTCCTTTGCTGAAAAATGTAAGCAATAGCGTCAGCCTCAGGGGGTCTCAAAGTGTAGTCCTGGGTCAGCACCATCAGCATCCCTGGTGGCTCCTTGTGTGGTGTTAGAAATGCCACTTCCCAGCCCCATCCCAGGCCTACCTACTGGCCAGCAGTTCTGCAAGTGGACCCTCCCAATGAATCTGGCGTGGGCTCAGGTTTGAAAACCACCTGGCCTTCACGGGCTGTGGTAGGGATCAAACACGGTAATCCACAGGCAGAGGTGAACATAACCATAATTGCCATTTTCCTTGCCTTTGCCTCACAGAACTCTAGCGCTACCTAAATTAGCTGATATGTGGGGGAATGCCTTGGAAAGCCTGGAGAACCCAGGATGGAGTGTTCTATTATTGTTAGGAAAGGCTTGGTTTCTTCACACTTTTCTGAGCTGGGAGTTTTTATGGCCTGAAGACACTCCTTTTAAACTCTTTTCTTTTTTTTTTTTTTTCTACTGGGGATTGAACTTGGGACCTTGTGCTTTCGAAGCAGGTGGTGGAACCACTGAGCTAAATCCCTGGTCCAATACTTCTTTTATATTTAGAATAAACAAATCTTATTTCCTTTCTGGGAAAGAAAAGGATCGAACAAAATAGAAAGGCTCTGAACTATCCCAAGAGCCCAATGGGCCAAAATATTCTTTTTAGCAGTGTCCTAGAATAAGGTGAAGCCAGACATAATCTGGTGCCATCTAGGTACTGAGGGGAAAGGTAGTCAGTCCCATAACCATAGCTACCTTGGCCAAGCGACCCAGCTCCCAAGCGGGCAGGGATCCTGTTTCCCTGTCCAGGCTGAGGGGGTGAGCCTGGGTTAGAGTCCAGGAATGGAGGCCTGTGCCTGGGGAGAAAGTCAGGGCTGGACTACTGGGGCTCTCAGCTGCATTTATGCATGTGTCTACCCCCATGCAGGGCCCTCTCAGGGGGGCGGGAGCCTGTGGTTTCCTGCGAACTCAAACAGAAAAGCTTTAGAGCCAAAGGGCTGAATGCAAAGTAGGTGTGTGAAAACAGGTCCAGTCAGGGGCCAAAAAGTCTGCTTTTATGTGAGGAAGAGAATGGAGCAGAGAGGGCTTTTCTCCATGGGTCATCCCTGGAGTGCAGATGCAGGAACCACTGCAGAGCCAGAGGGAGCCCCAACCAGGCTTCCAGGAGCTGAGTTGTCCACCTGGGAGAGATGGCACCGTCTCTGTCACAGACCCGATTTTATTGGTTCTAAAATGCACTTTCCCACATTTTAGCATCTCTAAAACTGGGACTGATCTTAAAATCAATGGCATCTAGAAGCTGTAAAATATGGTAGTTACACTACAGATACTAAGAAGGACTGAGTTGGATGCTAAGAGCACACAGAAATCGGACAGAATGATTAATCTCGACAATTAAATAGTGAAAACAGTAAAGGCAAAAAGATGTAAAAATAATGGTTGCTGTGCACCCTGTCTGACAGAAAACAGGAACGATCTTGCATTACAACTTTAACCAATTTTCAATCAATGCACAGCTCAAATGTGCTTGTTGGTAGAATTAGGTCAACAATACAAGTATTTCTAACAAGGTGATACAGGTGCTATTGTTTTTGTTTACAAAAGTACAGTGGTACCTCGGTTCACAAACTTTATTTGTTCTACGATTTCAGAAAACATGGCCATAGTTGGTTTGTCAACCAATGCAGAGTTTGCAAACAAACACAAAATTTTTACCAAACTCTCCTGTTTGTGAATCAAACTGTTTGTAAACAAAGCATTTGTGAACTGAGGCACCACCATATTCCTTGAGGACTCCAACTTTCCAGTTACCCACCAAGCACGTGATTTATGCCAACCAGGAAGGAAGAAAACTAGTTGCCACCTCCTTGTGCCTATAAAGGTTGACTCAGAACTGGTACAACTGTAAATAAAATGGTTCACTTGTCTCGCCTTACCTTTTTGAATGATTTTGCAATCGTGAACATGTGAACAGATGAGCTGTGTGACCTCTGGGTGCTGGGAGGAGACTCACCGGCTACTATAAGGACATGCAGACTCAGGGCTGAAGGTGCACCTGGTCCCCTCCTTCCTGGACACCTGGCACAGCAAAGGCTTGCTGTCAGGGAGAGTGATGTCGGCAGATGAGGTCTGGGCTTTTGCAAGACCGCTCCTCCTTGGTGCTCCATCTGCTGGGACCTTCACGAGATGTGGAGAAAGGGGGAAAGGTGACACTCAAGGTGGCAGAACAAAGATGTTCTGTAGCAAGTCTGAGACAGCTGTGCAAATGACTGTTTCCCTTTTTGGCTTTGGCCACCAGAGGACCTAGATGGAAACTGGTAGCTGTAACTTGAATACTTATCTATATTTGTTTGTTTTAAAAAAATTAATATACTAGCAAAATTCTTTGCTTTTAATAGGCTATTTGTTTTTAATAAATGAGTATATTAATGAAATAGCTAAAAATTTCCCACTTGCTATTTTAATCGAACGCAGATGTAAATGCCAGCTTTAAATTCACTTGAGATAATTGGTTCATATTCATCCCACAAATACTAACTACCGAACACTGGACAAAGGAAATGGACAAGGGAACTGATGAAAAGGCCTGGTCCCTGCCATTATGGGACTGAGATTCTGGGGGAGACAGCAGGGGAGCAGGGCCTAACAGTACTGAAGAGGGAAACCTCACTGAGAGTTTTGGGAAAGAAGCAGAGATGGTTCCTGGAGGAGGTAGTGTCCAAGCTGCATCCTGGAGGACACGTATGAGCCAGCCAGGCAAAGGGCAGGTGTGAAAGGGCACTGGGGAGAAAGAGTCAAGACGTGCAGTGGTCAACCAGAAGGCTGGTATGTTCTGGGGATCACCAAGGACCTTGATGAGGAAGGAAGGGGCCTGGAGACGGGCCAGGGCCATAGCCTGTGGGTTGTCAGCAGAAAATAGATGGGATGAAAGGGTACCCCATAGAAGTATCCTCCTGGCTGCAGGGCAGAGAATGGACTGAGTGGGAAACTCAAGGAGGGGAAACCAGCGGGATGTCGGGAAGGGGAGGCCATGCAGCAAGGTGGGGACAGGAGATGGGTGGGGGATCCTGACTTGGTATAATTCAGCCAGAAATGTAGACTGTCAACACTGCGATTGGCTGTGTGGGAGTGAGAGTCCTGGCTGGGTTCACAGGGTATTCAGTGGGCACCTGACTGCCTTTAGGGCCCAGGAGGCCCTGGGAGAGGACCCGGAGCCAAGCCCCACTCCCACTTACAGACAAAGCCATCAGTTGGCCCTGACAGCAGATCAGGAGCAGACCCAGAACTGGGTCCCCTGATTCCCAGCGGATGTGCTTCCTCAGTCAGTGAGCAATGCTTATTTCACGCCAGGCATTTGCCCCTACATGACACGTCATGGCACTGAGGAAATAAAGGGATTTTTTTTTTAAGTGAACACACAGATTATGCTCAATTAACTTGCTTTTCCTTGGTGGTTAAGAAGCACAATAGATTTAATACCTGTTGACATAAACATTTGATACAGCTCATTGAAACACACTCATGGCAAACATGGATCAAAGACCATGTGGTTGCTGGGGAAAAAAATCAGTGGAATCCAATTGTGGTTATTACTGTCAGCAGCACACAGCTTGGGTTTCTCTAGGAACGACCTGAACCAGTGCCCTTAGTGGGTCTTAGGACAAGATGGAAAGCAGCAGGCATGAGGGGACTGGGCGGGGGAAAGGACTCCCTGGAAAGAGAACCCAGAGAGGAGACCATGAGCAAGAACACAGGTCAGATGAGTGGGACCGGCCTGCTCAGCAGGAAGCAGGTCCAGAGGG